TTCAGCTTACCTGGGGGTCGCTTACCTTGTGGTCTCCTGCGAGGCTGTAGGCGAATACGCATCTTCGAGATGACGAGGCGACGGTCGGTCCACTCGTCAGCACCCGCGATCACCTTCGTCACCAGCACGTCCCGCTGATATCGCCTCCGGACGAGGACGTAGTCCAGCAGGTGCCACTGGCGCGACTGAGGATGCCTCCAGGTGGCCTTCTCTCGCTCCGGCAGATAGAAGAACGTGTTCGTCAGGATGAGGCGGTGTTCTGCGCAGGTGCGGAGCAGCAGCAGCAGAGCATTGTCGTTTGAGCCGCGGAGACCGTGGGGACCCAGCACTCCTCTCCAGGCAGTATGATCTGTGCCGACGCGGGCGTTGAAGTCACCAAGGACAATCAACTTGTCCGCCTTCGACACAGTCGCCAAGAGGGCGTGCAGGTCCTCGTAGAATTTGTCTCTTGCGGCGGCGTCGGGGTTGGTCATCGTCGGAGCGTAGGCGCTGATGATGGTGGCGAATTTGCCTCCCCAGAGAGGCAGGCGGAGGCTCATCAGGCGATCGTTGATGCCCTGCGGCAAACAGGGCAGACGTCCCACGATGTCGTTCCGAATGGCGAAGGCGACACCCGCGTCTCGTCGCTCTGCCCTGGGTCGACCGCTCCAGAAGAAGGTGTAGCCGGTACCCACATCCTCCAGTTGGCCTTGTTCGGAGAATCGGGTCTCGCTGAGTGCGGCGATGTCCACCTTGTAGCGCGCCAGTTCTCTTGCCACTAGCGCCGTCCTCCGTTCCGGTCGGTTGCTCCTCGGATTGTCTAAAAGGGAACGAACATTCCAGGCTGCCAGAGGGAGCGGGCTCATCCTGCCAGTCTGGTGACAACGAGTGGGGCGACGGGAAGGAAATGGGGAAGCGGTGACGTAGGAGAAGAATAGGCAGAGGAAGAGGAAGAAGAGGTAGGATGAGGAGAATGAGTATGGTTGTTGTTGTTATTGGTATTGTTGTTGTTTCGATTTTGATTGTTTCGACCATGATAAGACGTCTGCGGCCCTGGCTAGCCTGGAGACGGCGTGGTACCCAGCAATGTTTAGGCCACCTTTTCAAGGCCCTTCCCCTCCTGGGGGCTGGCAGTGCCGCCCCTGTATCGGGCTGCCCATGTGCCGTTGTGGCACGGCCGAACTCCACTATGCTACCACGACTTCGGGTTGTAGTGGAGAGCGACTCGAATTCGCCGTAAGCCGCGGTCTCCGACGGCGTAGGTGGGCGCGTCAAGGCGGTGTCGATGTGGAGATCCATCCCGTCACCGGCTGTCCAGCAGAGTGCAGAGACGAACCACGTCACAACGGTGCCGACGCAAGGTTCCATCCGACCTTCCATCCAGCGGAATCCGCAAACCCTGTGCACACGGCACAGCGCACGGGGCCCCCTCGCCTGGTTTAGCCGCCGGTCGAGACGGTTGCCCGGGGTGTGGCCGCTGAGCAGAGTCCAGCTACGTGGAGCCACAGGTGAGAGTTGAGTGTCATCAAGTGGACGCTAGGCGCAGTCTCACCTGCAAGCAAGTGAGCGACCACCACGACCATTACGTGAACCCACCGCTGACACCCCTACACCCCTTGGGCAACACATAGGACGGAAGACACAAAAAAAGATAAAGTTCTGCCGAAATTCTTATCGTAGGCTGTCATCTGACAAAGAAAGTGATTGCGATAATTAAAAAATATTCAAAAAACAATTTAAGAAAATGACGGACTTTGAATAAAGCATCGCTGGTATGTTTTCATCTAGTTAGGAAGAGAAGGAAATTTGAAACAATGGGATCGGTGAATAAAAAGTGATGTTTACAGTCACATTGAATTTTAGGGTATATTTTTTCAGCTACCGTCTACCTGTAGGTCCTACACCTTATCGTTACCTACAGGGCTAGTGTGAATATGCTTATAATCGTCCATTACTGGCACTAGAGGACAGCTCGCTAGTCCCGAAGCAACTCCCCAATGTGCCTTAAAGTCTCCCACCCTTGACTCTAACTGCCAGTGCGCCCACATCCCTCCACAAAAGATTACAGAAAATCCTCGAGGATATTGACCTTGGTAGGAGCTTGTTTGTGGACGCTTTACTACCCAACACAGACACCCTTACTGACTAATAAACAGGGCTAGTGTGAAAATGCTCGGAATCGTCTACTACTGCACCAGAGGAATGGTCGCAGGTTCCGACGCTGCCCGCCCAAGCAGTGGACAATCAGTCATTTGATTTGCTAGTGAAAGTTGCTTCGAGAAAAGTATTGGGTTGAGCCCGGGCAACCGAATACTGGAGTTTAAGTTGAGTAGATGAAGATTATTTAAGTTACAGGTCATCCTATTTCTTGATTACGGATTGTCCTACTTGTAGCGCCGCATCTTTTATTCCATGTTCTCTATTTTCCTTCTGAACAGAGTACAATTGACCTTCTATTCTCCCACCCATGACTTTAACTACTCTTGCATCCACACCCACCCGTTTGAGTTATCAGAGTTGGCTCCCTCAGGCTCCCACGTTTTTGTGAGTCTGACATTGCGATTTGTCCTTTTACAGCTTGACGGGCAGTCAGCTGATTGTGCGCTCTATATGGGGCTTGTTAGCTCTAAAAAGCCAGAAGGATGTGTGTTTCCCTATGCCTGAGTTATGTTATGCTTGCCTAGGATGAATCTTAAAATGGATATTAGCAGCAACTGGTGGGGGTGGGGGGAGGTGGACAGATTGGGGAGATTTCTCTGCTGTCCCACGTCTGTACAATTCTTCCAATTCACTTCTAATCACTGGAAAGTTTCAGAGAGCTCAACTTAGCCGTATATGCTAATTTTTGGTTGGACACGGGAACCTGCACCCCTTGTATTACAGGTGGCCTTATCCCAAACTTCGAATGACCCAGAAATGGGGTTAGGGCTAGGGTTAGTGTTGGTGGTAGGATTAAAGTTAGGACACGGGAATAGGAACTCCTATGGAATTTGGCGCGGAACTAATTGTGTTACCGGGGGACTCTTTATTCTCGTGTTCGACCATTTTGCGCATTTGGAAGAAGGACCACGCCCAAGTCCGCGCGAGGATCGCAAGCGCACAACAATCTGCGTGTCTACTCGACAGTTCAACGTCGACTTTTCATTCATATTGACCCAACTCTGAAAAACTCGGCGCCTCGGTGGGATTCGAACCCACGCAGTAAGGGGGAAGGCTTTAGTACAGCCACCGAGGCGCCGAGTTTTTCACAGTTGGGTCAATATGAATTATTCAAAATCTGCCAAAATATCAATGAGTCGACGTTTCAGTCTAAAGGAAAACTAATGAGTTATTCCAACGCGATTTATTATGTGACCACAAGCACTTGTAATACGCCAATCCCCAGAACGAAACGTACGGGGTTAGTCACAACATTTTGTTACAGGTTGGACAGTTCTCCTTGTAATAAGGAAAGGCCTACAATTCCTTCAAGGCGGCTGACTAACCAGCTATTACGCAGCTGTATGTTAAAGTCTCGGACCTCCGTACAAAAGTGTGGATTTACCTGGTCAGGGAGAGACCTGAGGAGGTCACCCTACTCATTGTGCCGAAACGGAAGATCGGTACAGGGAAGATTGGACCAACAGCGGTGGTCCTGTCACCCACGATTCATCGCTCTGGCGAAATCGAAAAGAAAATGTATAGAAGCGAATGAGCGCCTTTTGTCCAGGGTGACACAGTGCACAACCGGATGTATCCAGCGCACATGCAGCTGTCCAGGTGACTTGCGAAAAGAGCATGCACGTGGAAATCAATCAGCTGGGATAAATCATCGAGGGATAGCAGTACTACATGAAGTGAGCCACTGGTGGATACGAGGCGAACTTACGGACATTATTGTAAGGCATGCCGGGCGGTTGTGGTGGTGTTTCAGAGTGTACACCTGATCAAGTGGGCTGGCAGTTCCACGGGGCTGTACCGACGGGTTCGAGCAACGGACAAGCTGGTTAATGTCGGCCTAGCCAAGCCTGGCGTGTATAAGGACTCCCCAAAACCTGGATTCATGTTTGTCTAGGCTGTCAGTGTAGTAAGATCGGGCTCCACGAAAATCCAGTCCCGTACCGAATTGATGTGTATAGCCTGTCTCTTTACCTGCTAGCTCTTCACGCAAACCAGTACAGGAACCGTTGCGTCAGATCGGTCGAGGACCTATCCTGGAAGTCCTGATGGATGCATTCGTTCTAGATACGTTCTATATGTCCCCCATTTTCATGATCTTCCCCCTAATGAGACTGAGGGTACCACCATGTCAAATGGTCACTTGCACTTATCCACTGATAAGCAGATTGAATATCTTCGGTTAGTTACTGGCGCACACTCATTTCTCCAGCCCACGTGCAACATAAAATAAACACGCATACCTACAACTTCCATCATCTGCCTTGCGTCCTGAACAGCCCAGACACCCGTCAGAGCTAATGATCACTCCAATCCACTGACCTCTGTGAACTTATAAACCCAGTGGTCCGAGAACGGGGCCTCGCTGAAGGTGGGGAAACCGAAAGCAGGCCAAGTCAATTCTGGATCTTTGGATTGCCATCCTCGATGCCCCGTACACCATCACTACTACCACCACCACCACCACCACCACCACC